GCTTTGCAATTTTAAGAGTGCTGCATCCCTCTGCAAGATATCTCACTATTTTTGACTTTTCTGAGCCTGTCAAGTCCTTCTTTTGACCCATTTTGCCAAAGGAAAGGAAGTTGCCTAATAATTATGCACACCTGATATAGGGTGTTGATGTCATTAGACCACACCCCTTCTCATTACAGAGATGCACATCACCTAATATGCTTAATTGGTAGTAGGCTTTCGAGCCTATACAGCTTGGAGTAAGACAACATGCATAAAGAGGATGATGTGGTCAAAATACTAATTTGCCTAATAATTCTGCACTCCCTGTAATTGTATTATTAAGATTTGATTCTAAGTATCTTTTTTCCATAAATTTATTTTTTAAAAGGTTAGCTTGTTCGTTAAAATCTGTTATTTCTGAACAATTCCTGCGAAGATGTAGGAACTGACTTTTTGGGGCACTCTCAAGCCAAGGCTTGTAGTGGCAGCTAGTTTTGTCGATGGCCGTGTTAACACACACCTTTTTAAAAAAATGTTTTTGTGTGAAGTTGGCCTTCTTTGATAAAAATATTAAGGTCCAAAAAATTTATAGATTCTTTACTATATTCATGTGTGAGAATAATACCCCTATTGTTAATATTAAGATAATTAATAAAAGCAATTAAATCATCTTCTGGTCCTTTCCAGATAAAAAAAAAAGGTCATCTATGTATCTAAAATATGAGACTAGGTTTGCCCGCCAGGCATGATTGACCCAGACAACTTCGGATTCCCAGTCTGCCATAAACAGATTTGCATAACTTGGGACAAACCTAGTACCCATAGCAGTGCCCCTCTTTTGGAGATAAAAAGAGTCTAAAACCAAAAATAATAATTTTTTTAAATTATGTTAATACCTTCTATTATAAAATCAATCTGGATGGCAGGAATATTACCTTCTGAAGTAAGAATCCTTTTTATGGCCTGGCATCCAATATTGTGAGGGATGATTGTATAAAGTGACTGAACGTCACAGGTAACTAATATAAAATTGGGTTACCAGCTAAAATTATTTAAAAAAATTTAAAAGTGACATAGAGTCTTTTAAATAAGATTTCATTAATTTTACTGAAGGCTGAAGTAGGGTGTCGATATATTGAGAAAGGTTGCATAAAAGAGACCCTATTCCAGAGACAATGGGTCTTCCTGGGGGGTGGTTTTCATCTTTGTGAATTTTAGGAAGAAAATAAATAACAGGAGTAATAGGAAATTCTTTGTTTAAAAAATTAAATTCTTGTTTGTTTAAAATATTTAAATTAAACCCTTTATTTAAAAAAGTGGATAATGTAATTTGAATATTTTTTGTAGGATCAGATGGGAGTTTTTCATATACTTTTTTGTCTTCTAGTTGCCTTAGAGCTTCTTCAATATACATTTTACTAGATTGTATAACTACTCCCCCACCTTTGTCAGCTGATTTTATAACAATATCTTTATCTTCTTGAAGTTCTTTGATTGCCTTTCTTTCAGCATTTGTTAGATTATTTGTATCGTATTTGTTATATTTAATTGTTTCCAGGTCTTTTTGGACAAATTTTTCAAATAAAATCAGAGGGGCAGATTTACAGTGTGATGGATAGAACTTGGATTTTTCTCTAAGATGTGTATTAATAAAACCATTGTCTTGTGGGGAAGGAGTGGGAGTTGGTAGTGCATCTGTTTTATTATTAAAAAATCTTTTTAATGTGGCTTTTCGAACGAATTTGTTTACATCAAGGAAAGCCTGAAAAGGACTAAAAGAAGAAGTAGGGGCAAATTTAAGACCTTTACTAAGAACAGACAATTGAGCAGCGGATAAAACTTTTTGGGAGAGGTTAAAAATACTATACAGGGATCTTGGGGGGATATTATTGTCTTTCTAGTCTTTCCCTTTTGCTCCTGTCTTCCACTTCGTCTTCCTCTAAACTTAGAATTCGTTTTTGGGAGCGTGACGGATGTGGTGTCTGAGCTAGTGCGGGTTGGTGGGTACGTATTTCTAAAAAATGGTCCTCGTTATCAAAATCAGAGTCTATTGACAGTAACTGATATCTGTTGGAGTGGTTTGGAATGGGAGGTTATTTTGAATAATTTGAATATTCGTGATAGTCTTGGTGTATCGTGGTCTTTGGGGTTTGGGTGAAAATTTGGGACCAGAAGAGTAGTGATATTTTGGGGATTGTGGTACAGGATTGTGAGTGTAGTGGAATGGTTTCTTTTGTTTGTATGAAGGTAATTGGTTAGTAGCTTGGTACGGTAATTTAGAAGCAGCATGGTGGTATTGAGCTGGGATTTTAGTAGATCTCATCATAGATGGAGATTGATAGTGGGATTTCCGTGTGACAAGATTGTGATATTTGGAAGGTGATGGGTTGTTATTGTAAGAGTGAGAGTAGGCATATTGGTGATCATAGTGATTAGTCTTTGAGGAATAATTGTCGGAAGTGTACTTCTTTTTAAGGTGGTAGGTCCTAACTTGTTTGTTGGAATAATCAGTTTTGTCTCTGATATATTTTTTAATTTTCAAATGTTTTGTGTCTACTTCAACTTTTTCAATTTTATTCTGAATAAGAATACAATTTTGTTTATAGGCCTTCGTATCTGTATATGGTAGGAGTTTCTCTCTAAGCTTGTTTATTTCAATGTCTAAAATAGACAGTTTCTTTCTTTTTTTTACAATTAGGGTTTCCATCAAACCAAAAGTGCATAATTCTAATTTGCTATACACATTACCCTCCTTTTTTAACCTGGCTTTTTAGTATTTTTTAGTATATTTTTTAGTATTTTATATACTAACACCTACTTCGGAAGTCTCCTGTATTCCAAGAAATCCAGAGGTGGGGATTAATCCACCTATGCTGATACACAAGAGCAGTCGGTCTGCTCCTCATTTGTAAGTACGTTTTTATCTACTTATAGTAAGACTACTTTAACAGTGAGCACTATCGGCTGTCTCTTCTTTTCCTTATTTGAGAGTTGGACACCACTGACGGAGAGATACCCACGACATATCCTATAAGCGGGGATCATACCGCTGTATGCGTTTTTTTCCTAGAGCTGGACATAAGCTCTAATAAATGTGAGTTCTCCACTATTATTTCTTTACACGTCACCTTTGGAATTATACAATACTACACTATTGGTCGTCCCTCTCTCTCTTTTTTTGTCTTCTATATAAGTGGAACCAATACAGTTTATGAAGACTTCACTACTGCACTTCTTGTTATAAAGACTATTCGCAAGGACACTCAAGTTGGACTTTTTACCTATTTATTTTTCCTGTTGGACTTTTTACCTATTGAATTTATTTTATCCTTCCTGTGGCGCAGCCTTTTTACTGTTGTTTTACCACTCCATGGTGTGCAGTCATGCCCTCCACTGCAATGTAGTGGCGGAACTAAACTAGAAAGGGTACTGGTGCAATGCTTCTTTTGGGCCCCGCTATCGCAAGTATGGCCATACAGTAGATCCCCATCTGTCATTCAACCCTAACAATGCTGGGGATCTATCATTGTCCCATGCTTAAAGGGTTGTATTTAGCAATGAGCAGTGTTTGTGTGTTTGAATGTAAGCATGTTTTGTATGGAGTATGTGTGAATGTAGGGGTGTGTTTGTATGTGGTGCTGGCGTTTGAATGCAAGCATGTATTTATGTGTATACAGTAGTGTGTTTATATTTAACAAAGTTTGTATGGGCAGGAAAAAAGCACAGAGTATCATTAAAACACCTATATAGACACTAAGATGAGGGAGGCATTGGGGTCCACGATCTCCTCCTTTACCAGAAGGTGGCTGTGCTGGCACCTTTAATTGAGGGAAAGTTCTTAGGTACCCCTCTGGCAACTATGTGTTGGATCCCTACAGGGCGTAGACCTAAAACGTCCTACACAGGGCCTACTAAGGACATATGACAAATACAAACCACACTTACTTGGGTCAGACAAACTATCTAGAGCCACACCAATTTCCATCCTGCCCTACATAATACCAAACTTTAACATAGCCAAATGGCAACAGATGGGAATCCACTTTTAAAACTGCTTTTACGAGAAGAACACAAGCCTATTGTTTCAATAACTATCTGCAAAATACAACATCCCAAACACCCTACACTACGCAGACCTCCAAATCAAACACTATTTAGACTCAAACATGACAAACACCAACCTGAAGGGGCCAGACAACAACATGTCTCAATTTGAGAGAATGTGCTTGGGGGCAACTCTCAGTGTGCTACCAGGTGCTAAATAAACACCAACCTTTCAGACAATGCCAATATGCCACAGACTGGGCTTGTGATTGTGGGGAGAACATCACAGACTCTCAATGGGCCAATATCCTACAGGCACTAAAAGGGGTAACCCACTGTGCGTCACACAGGGAACTGCACAGAAAAATAGTACTCCAGTGGTACATGGTCCCAGCCAGACTTGCACGCATATTCCCTGATAGCTCCCCAAAATGCTGGAGATGTGGCACACAGAGGGGCACGATGATCCACATGTGGTGGACATGTCCGGCTCACACATGTGGACGGAGGTTCACCCCATAGTAAGATAGATTGTGAAAATGGACATACCAAAACAACTCCTATATCTCATACTATTGCACATGCCAGCTCGGTTACGTTGGAACAACAAAGTGGTGATCATACATGTTCTTTTTGCTGTCCTGTCCTTCATAGCAAGACAATGGAAGAGGGTGACCCCTACGACAGTGCAGGATATAATCTCCACTGTAGATAGAAATAAAATATATGAAATGGCACACTCTGAGATGGAGGGGACGAAACACAAGAAGCGAAGGGACAGTACTGAAACGACGTCCTAGCACTGTGCGACCGCCTGGCCACCCAAGCCTACAACTACATACCGCTTGTGACGAGAGCAGGCTCGCCACATTGCATTGGAGAAGCCTGGTTGCTCGCCTGCTGCCTTTGGACTATGGCCCCATGTTAAAAGACATTTTTTTCCCTGCAGAAAATACTTATTCGTGCTTTTCTGCCCGGTGTTCGGTAGATTCTCAGCGGTGTTCGACGCCTAACCCATGGAACTAAAAACGGACACAGTTTGGCACGAACACCGCTGAAGCCGCCGACCTCCCTTCTTGTTCGGCGGGAGTGCCCGAACGGCCTGGTGTTCGGTAGTTTTACCTGACTGTATTATACCCCAGATAGGAATCCCATGGAGCTCATTCGTATGAGAACTGACTTTGTAAAGACTTTGGCTCCATGGCGATTGAATTGTATTCGTGTGGTCTGAGCGCCATTCGCTTAATAATGTGCGCTTAGACCTGAGCTATCTGGGGATATGTTAAATGTATACTTTTATTGTAACGTGTGTCACATATTGTATTTTAACAGTAATTCATGTTTTAGTATCCTCACATGCATAATGGTGATTGCCTTTTGTCCTGGGAGATAATTGAATTACTTCTCAATTATCTCCAGGGCAGAGGGGAGGAAGCCAGGATGCATTGTGGGAATATAATGTGACTGTGTGTCCTGTTTGGCTGATTGTCTGTCTTTTGTTTCAGTCTCCCATTTGGTCCCCTAGGGGAGTGTCCACCAGGTGGGAGACCTGCATAAATACTGGGCAGGTAGCCCTCATTAAACATACCACTGCTTGACCCTCAACACGGAGCTCTGTCTCGTCACATAAATACATGCTTGCATTCAAACACCAGCACCACATACAAACACACCCCTACATTCACACATACTCCATACAAAACATGCTTACATTCAAACACACAAACACTGCTCATTGCTAAATACAACCCTTTAAGCATGGGACAATGATAGATCCCCAGCATTGTTAGAGTTGAATGACAGATGGGGATCTACTGTATGGCCATCCTTGCAATAGTGGGGCCCAAAATAAGCATTGCACCAGTACCCTTACTAGTTTAGTTCCGCTACTACATTGCAGTGGAGGGCGTGACTGCACACCAGGGAGTGGGGTGGGAGGCATGGGTCCCATGCAAATACTTGCCCAGGATCTAATCATTATTAAAGACGGCCCTGGTCGGAACACGTAATCTGTGCTATTACACACTTGTCTATTTGACTCAGGTCTGTAGGGGAGATGTAAAAGCGATCCAGTCTCGTGTAAGAGTTGTGGACCGCTGAGTGGAAAGTATAATCTTGTTCGTTATCGTATAATGTGCACCACACATCCCGTAAGTTGTAAAACTGTATATGGGACTGTAAAGATTTGCAAGAGCCCTGTAACGACCTCAGCCTCCATTTGGGAATGGAGCCGAGGAGTCCAGGCCTCATTCTACTATGAAGTTAAAATCCCCGACCCTGTCAATTTTATTACACAGCACCTCCAAAAAAATGAGCCTGATTGGAATTTGGGAAGTAGGCATTCGTTATGCAGACTAGTATCAGGAATCTACCCATTGGATATGAGAGTTTAAGCAGGAGGGTAAATGCTATGTTATCGTTGACTAGCATGGATACCCCTCTTGCCTTCGTGTGGGAGTGGAGTCATATTGCCTGCTATATTGTTTGGAGTATAAGGTCTGCAATGGCTGTTAGTTAAAGTGCGTCTCCTGGAGGCAGACTATGTCACTCTGCCATCTGGACAAATCTTTGTATTGAAGGTTACGTTTGTGTTGGGTATTCAACCCCTTAATGTTGTGTGTGACTATTTTCATAAATTAGATCTCGGGTGTATGTGCTTGTGAGTGTCCCGAGTGTCTGTTCTGGCCTTATAAGAAGTGCTGTTAATGCCGATCCATGGGGGAGTGGGAGGATTGTGGGTGGAAGGCTACATAACCATAAAACACTACATACAAAAACAACCAAATTATTTACAAACAAAATAGCCCATTTACTATCCCCCAAGGGGGTGGAGTTGCCATCAACTGGGCCTTGGCAACTCCCTGGGGTCATGGTAATAGTGAACCTTACCAGTGTGTCTAAGTAATCAGCCCTGGCGATGGCACTATTCGCTGACTGCATATGATGTGTAGGTCCCATTGGTTTCTTAAAAACTAACTAACTTGGGCAGCTGTAGTTAGCCGATATTTTCGGTGCCTTTTCTCTTGCCTCTATACAAATAAAAGTTCCATTCTGTTTTTTTGTTTGTTTTTCTGTTGTTTATTTTTCACTTTTAATTAAATAATTTTTTGTGGGGGGATTTAGTGACAATTTTATGCGTTACATCTCCAAGGAGTGGGCCTTCCAGTATGAGTCCCAGGCTTTTGATAGCCCCTTGGAATAATAGTGGATGGGTGCATCTATTATGGCTTTTTGCCTGTATAAGTAAAAATATCGGCTCAGCCTTATATGTGAATAACAGAACCAACAAGTATAGACATGCGGTACAACTATATGTTACCCAAAGAGGTCGCTACACTCAACCTGAAACAGCTCTTGCTTCAGAGAATCAGTTCCTTTACTGGACCTTTTGCCATCCAGGGGACAGTCTCCTTGGGTGGGATGCAGGTTGTTTTTGAGGGGACTGGATAGGAATGTGCCAGTCCTGTAAGATCTTGCATCCTTCTTCCACCGTCTTGATCGTTTGTATGGTCCCATTCTTCATTACCAGTAGTTTGGTTGGGAATCCCCATCTGTACAGCAAATTTTGAGCCTGAAGGGATGATGTGATTTGTAAGAGTTCCCTTCTCTGGAACAGTGTTTCGGGGGAGAGGTCTGCAAATAGTTGTAGAGCTTTGTATTCCGCTAGCGGTCCATTCTTGCGGCTGGCTTTCATGATTTGACTTTTAATGTTGAAGTAATGGATCCACATAAGCACATCCCTCGGCGATGAGTCAGATATGTGTTTTGACCTCCCCACCCTGTGAATGCAGTCTATATTGAGGAGCTCTGGGTCTACTTCTGGCGCCAGTCTGGCAAAGAAGGTTGTAACATATTGGAGCAATTGCCTGTTTTTTTATGGACTCTGCTATGCCCATTATGCGCACATTGTTCCTCCTTGAATGATCCTCTAGGTCAGTCAGCTTGTCCTCAGAGGTTTTCAATCTGTGTTCTATGTGTTGCATTGCATCAGCCATGCTGTTGTGGGCTTCTGCATGCTCTGCCAGTTTATTCTCTATGTGTGATGTGCGCTCACCCAGATCAGCCACGTCCTTGGTGAGAGTAGCCACCATATCTCTGAACTTGATGCATCAGGGAGTTATTAAGTGCTTCCAGCAGAGATTTCATCTTTGTTTCTGTGATTGGACAACTCCCCACCCCAACCTTCATCCCTTCTATTTCCCAATACTTGATTTAAAATAAGAATTATGTTTCTTAAAGTCTAGTTCAAATCTCTAGGGGTGTGCATTTCTTATTCAAATGTAACTGATTTCAAAAGGGACTGAAGCTCATTTCATTCAAATACTCTTATTTAATTGAATCCAATTGCTGATTGAAATAATTATAAATAACTTACTGACACAAATAAAATGATACAGTTGTCGTAGGTGAAAACAAACAGCTGGAAATTTTCAAGTTGTGAACTCGCAATGAATTCAATGAATTTATCTTCTTATCTGAAAAAAAGAATTGCATCTTTAAATGCAGCTAAATGCAGATTATTCTAGCCTAGGTGAAGATATAATCCCAGTTTTATTAATGACAGGGGGCAAATATTTGCTATACTTTTGTTTCTGCATTCACAAACAGTAGCAAACACATAGAACAAAAATAGCCAATAAAAAAACAGCAAAGTTAAACTGCAGTAGCCACGGAACCATGAACAGGAAAAGGACCAAACATCTTAAAACCAATGAAAATTTGTCAAACGCAGGCTAAAGAGACATGATTTAAAATCCCAACAGACAACAAGCAAGTGGCAAGGAGTCGAATTGAAAGGAAAAGAGATAATCGTTATATTACCTTGAAGAGAATGAGCATAAATGATTAAACATTACAACTAATTTAACCATCAAAGATGATAATAACAAACTATCAAATCCTCCCTCAGTCACATGAGCATGAAATAATAATATGTAATAATATGAATTAAACAAAAATAGACACAATTCAAACACAATAAGCATGAATGCAGTTCATAAAAAAAGGAAAGATAGGAACACAAAAGGAGAAAACAGAAGTGAGGGAAAAGGAAAATGTTCACCTTCTGTCATTAATAAAATTAGGATTATCTCTTCATCTAGGCTAGAATACTCCAGAAAGAATAGGTAAAAAATACAAGGCAAATCAGATTTTGTCCATGGCAAAAGGTGATGACAACAGGAGTAAAAGAAACCACATCTGCATTACAAACACCAACATCCAAAATGCAACTAAATAAAACCAAGCATAACAGAAGCAAAAGGTTTGCCAAAAGTTGACTCAGGGAGAAAACATAATTCTGGGTCCTGGTGTTCAAGATCTGTACTACACATCTCACAAAGAAAAATATTTGGGACCCAGAAGATGGTACAACCTAATATCATGCATCAGAGGACAAATCAAGGGATAACTACCAACAGGCACCCCTTGAGAAGGAATGTGAGCAGCCGAGATGGCCAAACAGACCACATTAAGGGTTGATACGATCAACCTTAGTGAAAACAGGGCTTTAAAGGGCATCAAGATGCCTTTACAAACCCCACAACACCAGGAATCCCAAGCATAGAGGTAACACTTGCTACTGAGCTGTCTGCGAAAGGTTCAAGACATTACAGGAACCCCAGAAAGACTACTAGCGATCAGCAGCAGATGTTCATGAAGAACCAACAGATGTCTCGTGGATCCATTTGAAGAATGATAGGAGTAGGAGTCGAGGCAGGATCAACATTTTCAGTAGATCTGGATATCACAGATGGCTCTGCCACATGTGGGTAATCTTGGGGGTATCAAAGCGACCTCCTGGTGACAAAGATGACGAAGGACCTGTGTGATCAATGTGTGATCAAGTGGAGGAAAGGTGTAGCTCCCCATTTCTGGCATCCACTGCAAAACTTTCGGATCTGGAAGCTAGCCGGAGAATTGAAGGGTTTGAAAATATCTATTGAAAAAGGGTCGTGAAGCAAGTCCAGCTTGTGAAAAACCGATCTGTCCAGAATTCAATCACTGGAATCTCTCCAATGTCTGGAAAACCAGTCCGCTGTAATGTTGTAGGTTTCCAGAAAGTACTCCACTTGAAGTCAACAACTGCCAGGAATGAGCACATCCCAGAAGGATGGTGTACTAAACTGCCAAGACATTGTCCATTCTCAGAAGAATACAACAATTGGACAGATCTTTGGTCAGACTGTAAAAAGCCAAAGACCTCGCTATCATTTCCAGGCGCTCAAAATACTTTGAAGCCTCGTCCACCGACCATGGACCTCACATGGAGACTCCTT